CGGGGAGGGTGGCGCGCAGTCTCAAAAGTTTGGAAATGAAAACAAGAAAAATGAAAACGGAAAAAATTCGTTTTGAGAAAGATGAGGAAAAAAGAGAAAATGAAAACAGGTGTTTTCAATTTTGATTTTAGAAAATTTTACGCCAAACGCGTTTTCAGTTTTTTTTCTCGAAAATTGTGAAAAATGAAAACGAGACTGGAAACAAACAGGCCCGGCGTTTGGCACAATTAAAGACAAAAAACGGAAATGAAAACGATTTTTTAGTTTAGTGTAAAATGGGAGAGAAATGAAAAAAGACTTCTAGTCGTTTTTCATATTTTGTTTCTGTTTTTTCCTCTCTCGAGCAGAGAGGGAGACATTAATAGATTTTTTTATACTGAAAATAATCTTTTGATAAAACTACTAAACACATTTTCAAAAATGATTTATGTCTGAGATTGAAAACGTTTTCATTTTCATTTCATACAAAAAATAAAATCATTTTAGAACGAGTTCCAAACGCACCCATAAGATTTTTTATGGGAGGAACCCAATAAATAGAAAAGTGAGAGGCAATAAAAAAGGAAAAAGAGATCAAAAGATGCAAATAGAAAAAAGATAGGAAGACAAAAAAGAAAAGATAAAAAAAGGAAAAAAACTGGAATAAATGGGAAGAGTTGGAGAGATGAAAATAGACGAAACGTTTTCACATGGCCTAGCCCAAAAACGGATTCCTCTCCTGGAGAATGTACAGATTCCTTTTTCTTTTTTTCTTTTCTTCTTCTTACTTCATCAAAGTTCAGCATTTAGCAAAATCGTGTCGTGTGTCATATAGCACCAAACGACATTCAAGGCACATTTTTAGCATGTCCATAAGCCTTCTTTCTTTCCCACGTATCTTTCATTAAAATTCAGCAAACCAATTGTTATTTGAGATTAGTTTCTTTTCTTTCATCACTCGCAAATCTATCCCAAGTAAGATTCATGAGAGACTATATATATATATATATATATATATGTGCAGTGGTGGAATCAGAATTTTATTTTAGAGGAGTATAATTTAAAAATGTGAAGAATGTTATAAACACTAATAATATCAATACTTTTAACTAATTAGAAGCATGTTTTACACGTGTATATTGATCAGTTTATTGAATTTTTGATAAGTGAATTAAAATTTTGAAGTGTTTAATTTAAAAAAATAATTGGAAAAAAACGGTGTTCATAACTTCGACAAGGGGAAATTAGATAAGCATTTTGTTTGAAAAAAAATGCTTAATTAGGAATACATTTTGGAAATGTATTTTTAAAAGGTCATTTAAATTATTCTTGTGAGGCTCACTTTCGATACATATAATAAGATTATATGAAAAAATATATTAAAATGGACAAATTTTAAAAAAAAAAACCATAGTAAATTAAAGAAAAATAATTCAATTAGGTTACACCAAAAAGTATAAGATTTTAAAAATAATTTGAAAATCTATAGAGTGAAAATTGAAAAACCAAAAATCAAAGGGGCATAAGGGGGTATATTTGAAAAAAAAATGAAAATCTACTGGGTGAAAATTGAAAAACCGAAAATCCAGGACTATTCAAGCGAGCAAGAACTGCAGTGCTCGTAGGTTCAATTTCAATATAGAATATGGTTTTTATGTAGCCATACCTTGATTCAAGTGTAAACTTAATTGCATTTTCGGTATATAACTCGGATTCAATCATTTTGTAACAAATTAGCGAGTGTAGTCGGTTAATTGCCGTTATTATATAGACATAAATTCTAGATTGGATTGTATTTGTGTCTGATTAACTTGTAATTAATCTGCGCATATAATCATTTTTAGATATCTTGCAAATGCAGAGTTCACAAAGTTGCATCCAGAAAAACCCAAAAACCAAAAAATCAAAAAATAAGAGTAAAAACACGAGAGATAAACAAGTACCTATTGATATATAAATATAGTGAAATTTGAAATCCCTATAATAAAGATCACTGAAATTAATGCAAAAAACATAGACCTATTAACAACTAGACAACGTACTACTTAATTTAATAACATAAACTTATTTAGGATCTACCACCGTTTTAATACTAATCTTAATTATTTACATTACCAAATAACCCCTTATTGAACTTATAATTTCTTATAACTCCGAGTGATCAACTTACAATACGTAATCCACTCCTATAAGGTACACTAGTTTCAGGTACCCAGCTATCCCCATCAATAACCTTGGCCACCGTAAACCAATCAGCTTCCATCCACTTCTTGACGTCATGGTAACCTTTCCAATTCACTCTCTTTGAAGTGTCGGCACCGAGACCGCTATTGTCGTATTCGGCATAATACAAGTGATCAACAGGAACTTCGGGCCACTCCGTCCACCCTTAGGGGTCCACAATGTCATCGAAAATGCTCTGCATGAAAATCACCGTCGAGTACCTATCCCACGGACGACCGAGAAAGACTCTCAAGTTTGCCCTTTGCGGCGGTGTTAGCCCTGGAGCGGCTTCCACATGACAGCCTTGGAAGGAGAAGCCATTGACCTCACTATCGCTTGCTCGGTTTTGCGCGGTGACAGTGATTAAGGTTTCCGGACGAGCGTAGATGTGACAGTCTTGGAAGACGGCTTTAGCATGGCCAAAGATGAAGTCGACAGTGCCGTAGATTTTGCAGTCTTTGTAGAATTGGCGGTTTTCCTTTGCGTAGAGGGGGTCTTGGTAGCCCAGGAAAATGCAGTTATAAAAGGCCGATTGATCTGCTGTATTGTATAATGCAGCAGCTTGGTGATTCTATGGGCCCGCCGAGTTCTCTATGGTTAATGACTGCGCCACAAAGCCTTGCCCCATAACACCTAATTCCAAAACATGATATATCATGGAAATAAAAAATATATAGAACTAATAATTTGTACATATCCAATCACTACAAATTAATATTTGTGAGCCATTCCCGGCCATTTAAGTATTGTTCAAGAAATAAATAAGGTATTTATCAAAAAAAAAAAGGAAAAAGGTAAAGAAAACTGGAACTTATGCTTATATGTAGAGGACGAAGACTGAAAGTGCCTTAATTAGTTGTTGGAGATATCATATGTCAAATGTGAAGATTTGAAAGTGGTGTGACATTAATTAATCATGTTAAATATGCCCGATTGATCAAGATTTTATTTATTTAGTGGTGGCGAGAATAAATATAAAATTATAAACTAAGATAATAATGAAATCGAGGTAACAAATAAATATCAAATGAAAATATAAATTTGAAACTAATCTGTCTAAAAAAAGAATACAGGGAACTAGGTTATATATTGTAAACATATATCTCTTTAGCGTTATGTTTAAGACATGACTGTAGAAATATTAATGACGTTGATCAGTAAAGATATGTTATTTTTTTAATCTGAATGCATTAATTTTCTGCTCTTGGAGCCTATAAATCTTTAGACACGTGCAAAGTATATAAATTAGTTTAAAAAAATAAATAAAAATTAGTTGGTAAAAAACTAAACCAAAAAGGATGGGAGTGTGAGACGAATTTAAGAAATTAAACTGCAACGTTAATATTCTTACTCAGTGTTCATGTTTCATTAGTTTTGAATCCTGAACCATTGTTGCGGTCAAAGGTGATGATCGTTGTTGTTACATCATCTCCTATTAGACTGATGTATGTCAAATCCGATTCAATTTCGACGCGCTCTTTGTACCTCCCCGGTTTGATTCTGATCATGTAGCGTGTCTTGCTGTTCTTGGGGGCTGCTTTTACTGCGTCGCTCACTGTGGTAAAATTGCCTGAATTATCTTTTGCAACGATTACGTTAAAAGGGATGGTTGCACAATGTGTCGTTTTGGCATATTGCATGATGAACAACAACATGAGCATCATCACTAGAAAACACGTCGTATTTTTTTGAAGAAGATGAACCCATTTTTGAGGAAGCTATAATAACGTAGTATTGATTATACGTGTGAATGAAAGGCTTGAATATTTTGTGAGTCATGAGATCGTTAAGATGCTACATTTATAGATGAAAACCATTGGTATTGTTAGGGAAAGTAAACATTAGTTACCTTTTTCAATATTTTGATCTTATCGTTTATTTAAGTTATGTTAGGAGATTTCCCAATTTGATCGTTTAGGCAACTTTCCTAATTATATGTTTGTGGATATAGACACCTTGCGGATAAACAATGTCAAATCATTGTATTCTCTCGTTTCTTTTATTTTTTAATTAGTTATTAATTGGATTAATAGATAACATACAATTATCAAAAAGAGTTGGACATCCTATATATATATATATAAACTCGCATATATTTAAAGCGCTACGTCCCATTTCATTCCTGTAGCCTGTAGGATATTTCCCCTTTTTTGTTGTTGATTTTATTATTCTGTTTTTATTGATTTTTTTTTTTTAATATTAGGAGATTTCTCAATTTGATGGTCTAGGTAACTTACCCAATTACATATTTGTGGATATATTTTAATTAGTTATTAATTAGTTATTACGTGGATTAATAGATAACATTTATAAAAAAGAGTTGGATATCCTAATATAAACTAACTCGCATATATCAAAACCGCTAAGCATTACATTCTTGTAAAAATTTAGTCGTAGATTGCATGAATAATACTTTCCATATATGTATGATATATATATAATTATTACGGTATAACCACAGATCCAATATTACAATTGAAACAAATAATATAACTATGTTTAAATTAAAGGTTATCAATACTGTTGTTCCCAAAACTTTTCATGCTTTGCCACTTTCATTCTTTCTTTCTTTTTTTTTCCTTTTTTTTTTTTTTTAATGTTACAGTGTTTGGAACATAACTCTCTCATCCGAAATCCAAGTGAGGTGATTTTAATGGCGTTGGAAATATAAGAGATAGAGCTACAACTTTCGTGAAGAACCAAACACTAATTCAACCATATAGAAAGCAAAAATCCTCATAAAAAATTTGTACACTTGCTGTAGCGGGAAATCCATCCACTGCAGTGGATTTCCTGCCCGAGAACAGGAAAACCACACACCCGTTGCAGCTGAGAATCCATTCGCTGCAGTGATTGCGCCAGTTTCGCTAGGGCTTTTACAAAATCCTTAGCGGCGCTGCAGCGGATGCGAGAAATTTATCCGCTGCAGTGCCTCGATATGAAATGTTGTCAATTTGAGTAGATTTAGAAAGATATAAAAGGGGAGAATACTCATTTTCCCAAAAGGATGGAGAATTAGGAAGGAAACACAGGATAGAGAGCTAAGATTCATAGAGAGAGGTGCTTGAGTTGAAGATTTTTGGAGGATTCATGGTGGATTCTTAGAGGATTCAAACTTGAAGTTAATCTCCACAAGAGTTCCTTCTTCCTTTCTCTCAACCTACTCTTTCTTGAGATTTATATTTGTGGATATTTTGTTGAACATATTTTCATTTATGGATTTCTTGATAAGATTAGTTATGGATTTATCTATGTTGAGCTAGATTTCTTATGTTAGAGAGGATTGATGTAACTTTATCATGGCAATGTTTTGAAATTTCTAGTGCTTGTTAATTAAATTCATTTCTAATCCTTTGTGTTTTCTCTATGCTTATTGTCCAATTTGATTATCCATTAAATTAGAGATTTAGATATGTGGATTTAGTCTTGAGAAAGTCATTTGCACATATTGGAATTTGAGAAACACAACCTAAGTTTATCAAGTTCGGGAGGCCAATATAATTTGGGTAATCACTAAATGAGTTTATGCTTAATGAACCCTTAATGGATTGATTTAATAGGGATATTACTTGATTTATTTTGTGTATTATTTTGCTCGGCACTCGGGAGAGAGAGTGAGATTACTTTAGAAAACTCATGATTAATAATTAGAGTGAAATTTCTTAACAAGCTCTTGATTTGGATAGATATTGTCTAGTGAGGTGAAATCAAAACCCCTAACTAGCTTTTATTATAAAGTTCTCTTCGATCCACCTCTTTTTACTCGTTTTGTTAGTTTACTTTTATTGTTTTATTTAGTTTGTTCTCTCAATCAAAACTCCTAACTAGCTTTTATTATAAAGTTTCCTTCGATCCACCTCTTTTTACTTGTTTTATTAGTTTTCTTTTACTGTTTTAATTAGTTTGTTCTCTTAATTAGGTTGCCTAGATAAAATTGAGTTATGATAATCACGGTACTTAACAGTAATCTAATACCTAATTTCTGTAGAAACGATATTCACACATCCTTTACTATCAAATCTTGACACTATACGCTTGCGGGTTTATATATATATTGCAATCAGAATCTCTTTTACCAATTCCCCATTAATCAACTTAAATTCAGTGGTGAACTTTCGGGCGGCGGGCCTGCCCGATGCCCAAAAATTTTCAGGCACGGCGGGCAGGCCCCTCTCGCCGCCCGAAAATGCTTTTCTTCGGGCACGGGATCGGGTAGCCCGAAAAGAGTAAGCTCCCCGATAGCCCGCCGCAGTGGAGAAGCCGTCCCCCGCCGTTCGCTGGATTTTTTTTTAATTTTCCGGCAATACCCGAAGCTGCCCGAATCTGCCCGAATTTGTGCCCGAATTTTTTGTGACCGTTGCCTGAATTTTGGTGACTGTTGCCCGAATATTGCCCGTGCCCGAAAAATGCCCGATTTTTTTTTACCATTAGCCCGAATTTTGAAAAAAACGGTCTTCTGCCCGAACCCGAACCCAAACCCGAATTTTGCCCGAATTTTTGAACCCCAACGGTCGAATTTTGTGCCGTTGCCCGAACTGTCCGATTTTTGCCCGAACTGCCCGAAAATTTTGTAGTTGTTGGACCCGAAATTTTGGGGGAAAATTTTTTTTTTCAACCCAAAAATTTTCCTATAAATACCCCCCCTCCCCCCAACCATTTTCCTCACCCCAAAACTCTCATTCTCTCTCAATTTCTCTTAATCTCTCTCAATTTCTCTTAATCTCTCTTAAATCTCTCTTAATCTCGCTTAAATCTCTCTCGAATCTCGATCTCTCTTAAGCTCTCTCAAAGCGCTCTCAATCTCTCTTATTTTTCATAATGGCTTCTTCTGGTTATGGTGGTGGTGGTGATATTCCTATTGATGCCCAATTCAACATCGAAGAAGGGAAATTTCCTAATGTTTTTCAATCGCAGGAATCGCAAACTATGGAAAGAGATGCTGATCAAACTGCAAATCCGACCCCTGGTGGACGTACTAGAGGTCAGGGACGTAATGGTGGTGGCACAAGTGGCCGTGGAGGAGAGGCAAGCGGTAGTGTTAGTGTAAGTGTTGCAAGTTCTAAGAAGAAATGCAAGCGCACCTCAGCAGTTTGGGAGCACTTCAACACATTCGAGGACGTCGACAATAACGGTAACATTAAATACGTAGCTCAATGTAAATATTGTGGTGAGAAATTACAAGGTAACACTATTCACGGCACTACACACTTAAGAAGGCACTCTGAAAAGTGTCTTCAAAAGCAAGGAGGCGGAGATCAACTCCGCCAAACACAATTATCGTTTGACCGCCAAACCGGCGGTCTAAGCACGTGGAAATACGATCCGCAAGTTGATCGTATGGAAATGGCAC